GGCTTCTCCAGCCTGACCTGAGTGGTACTGCCGATCCTTATATATAGCTGTCCTACAAAATCACATGGCATCTAAAGCCAAGCGTGCACTGACTAAAACCAGATGCAAAATCTGAGATTCTGTTCAAAGCAGCATTACAGAATAACGGCTCTACACATTCCTGGCCTAATCTGAATAATATTCTGCAAATATTTCAGGCCAGTTTCTCACATCTATTCCAGCCCCAATCACTTCATGATTGAATTTCATGAGTTGGCTTTATTAATGTAAAATCAAAAATGCATTTCAGCCAGCACTAATATATCTTCCTGTAAGGTGATCCTGGAAAACAAGGGTTCTATGGTTACAAAAGTTTGGGACATACTGAATACTGACTCATAGTGAATTTGTTTGACTCAACATTTCCCAAATTTACTGGGAAAAAATCTCCCTCCCTCACTCCCAAGGGACATCTATTAATAGCTCTAAGACCTAGTATTCCACAGAAGTACCAGCAAGATGAATTAGGGCACTATCGAAATATAAGTCTCAGGTTTATATCAGATATTAGAATCTGAAGCAGAGAGGGTAAAACTGTTGATCAAAGACGTATCAATAAGGAAATCTGACTTGGTGGCTAATTAAGCCGTTTTGATAGTTCATAGAATTCTTTTGCAAATAAACACAATATTTGGATACTGTAAGTAGTCAAGAAAAAGAACAGCTGTGGAAGAAAACAGCTCCCCCCTACCATCACTGTCTCTTTCTTCTTTTGGGGAGATTCTTGGAGGAATAAGTTCTAAATAAAAGGAAACAGCACTGATTTCTAAGAAGTCTAAAGTATTCATTTTCAGATGAGGAAAATCAGGGGCCAGTGAGTGACTCCGTTGCCTGAATCTAGACCACATCTGCAATAATCCTCCAGGTCTCCCAGGAGTCACTCATCCACTGCAACCCTGTGCAATCAAAACCTTTGTTTAGCGTGTTGTCTTCCACTACCCACCAATCCCAATGTAGCACATTTTTACAGGCGGATTGAATACCTTAAGCTACATGTATTTTCTCAGATGATCCTGTGATTAAATAACAGGATCATGAGAGCATAAAATACCTATCATAGAGAGCCACCCAGACATAATTGGGACTCGATTGGTTTTTTGAACAGTCCTTTTCTGACTACTCCATTCTTTCTATCTTCTAGAACCCTGACTTGGATTTTAAACCACATATAAATTTAATAGTAGATTATATAAATATATTATGCAACTCTCTAATTTGCTTCGTGGGAGCAAGTTGTCTTTCCAAATAAAACACCAGATCCCACAAAGCCCAGCTTTAATGACCCAGGGTACCTATCCCAGTGTTAAGACAACCAGAAAGCAAGCCAACCAGCACTCACTGTTTAGAAATTAAAGGAATTCAGAGAGAGAGAGAGAGAGATTAAAATAATGATGAGCTCTACAAAACAGTAGCAGGAGCCCCTCCCTGCTTCAACTCCCACATTGGTAGAAAAGCAAAACAACCAAGTGCATTTATGGTTAAGAAAAAATTCAACCCACATAAAACATTAGCACGTATCATCCTTATTGGTTTTTCTAGACTTCTATATAAAGCACAAGGAAGATTTTTCTCTTAAGTATTTGGAGTAATGCAGGGAAATATACTAGTAATATAATTTACTTTTTAAAAAGAAGGAGAGAAGGGGCAGAAAAAGGGGCAAGAAATGGTACAACCAAAGTGGCAAATCCAATTCCAAATCCAAAGCCTCCTGAACTTTGTAGCTCACAAAGGGTAGCCCGGTGATACAAGCAAAGGATGCCACCTTCCTTTTCTCCAACCCTTAGGGGGCAATCAGTGAGCTAAAGTGAATTACTCATTTGCAAAAGATTGGGTTGATAGAGAAACAGCACAGATGAGGGTAAATTAAGCCAACCCTATTTTCTCTCGCTCTTTTTAAAATTCTTCAGCTAAAAACAGACTTCAAATAATAGCATCAGCTGCTAATCTAAAATGTGATCGGCTTGTCCTGGTCTGACAGCCGGCTCTCAGGGTGCTCTGGGCTATAATGAGGAAATGGAGATCAAAGTAGAAATTAGATGTCCTGGATTTTAGAGATGTCCAGAATGTTAAGATCACGTGGTCTAGTGGCAAACACTGTGGATAGGTAGGGGTCCAGTCCTAAAGATGAGGCCCCAAAAGATTAACTGTCTTGTCCCAGCCTGAGGCTTATATCCTTTATTTCATAAGGATAAATTCCTCCTAGAAGCCAATAGCTTCAACCAAAACTATGCACCACTAGAACACGAAGGGCCTTTCTTTTACCTCTCTGATCCTCCATGTGCCTTTCTCACTTTACTTTGGGAGGTGACAGGGCCTGCTGAGATGCCCCAGCATCGGGCATCAGTAGCAAAGGTAGGCACGACACCCTGGTCTGACAAGGCAACACTCTAGAGTAAAAACCAGCAGTTGCTAACTCATGAAAGGTTAAGAAGTTGAGACCTGGAGCCCTGGTTCAAATCATCTTCCTACCACTTGACAAGATATTAACTGAACAATTGCAAGTTCATCATCAATAGAATGAGGACAACATCACAAACAGCTGTTGAGAGACTCACATGACAGTCATGCCAGACACTCGACATACTGTCTGACAGGAACTAAGTGATCAATGAATGTTACCTTAATATTAATTCAATTATGCCTTTACCTGTAACTTTTCCAAAGCTATCATCTGTTAGATATTCACTGTATCAATTTCTGAGTCTAACACATGCCTTTAGATTGATTTCAAACTTAATTTTTTTTCTTACAAAAGTAAAATGTCTTCACTTAATTTTATGTGATTTTTTTCTTCCAGAACAGGGTCACAGATGATCTAGGAGACAGCCATAGCTGAGAGTTTTTTGGGAGGAGGAGATAAGTGGTGAAGAAGCACACATGCCCCACACCACCTCCTGGGGTACCACTGTGACATTTGGGCATGATGAAGGGGGGCTTTGGGCACAGAGGCTGATCAGATAGAGGAGGGGGAGCGGGATCACAGTATTACTCCACCATTTCTATCAGCTTTGCTATATGGAAACAGAATTTTAAAGCAATTTGAATGACTGTAAGTTAGAAGTTAATCTTCCTTCACTGAATGAAGGACAACATCTTGTCAAGACTACTGTGAGTCACAGAAGTAAGTGACTTCCCCGTGTGGCCCTTTTCCCCAGCCAGAGGAGTCCACTTGGGCCAAGAAGAACACAGCTTTTTAGGAAGCTCAGATGAACCCACCCCCTCCTCAGAAGGTCAGTGAGATTCACTGTCCTTTCTGATCTCACTGCACCCTCACTCTGATGGCAAGAAGAGAGGGACACATTAGATTGATTATTCCTCCTCTCAGCTTCTATGAAAAGCCAGAGAAAAAGCAACAGAACGGGATGAAGCTACAGCTCACAAGACCTGGGAGAGGCGGTCCACGTGAAGACTTTGGCCTGCAGCACGATGAAGTCACTGGGCTGGCAGCACAATAGGCCATGTATGTGCCAGGTCTCATTCACACCCCAACGGTTCCAGTAGTTAGAACCGTTGTAGTTAAGGGCAGTGGGCAGAAGGAGCCTGGGCCACCTTTCTGGCCTGGAGTAGCCCAACTTGAATAACAATTAGTTGCATGGACTGAGAAGCCCATTTCTGATTCAGCTCTAGGAGAGCTTTGATTCTCTAGCCAAGTGCATACCTCTTGTTGGCTGAGTGGAAAATAAAAAAGTAGCAGCAGCGTGAGCTGGCAAGGGTTTGAATGAGTGGGTTACTAGCAGTGAGAAGTGTACATGGACAGCTTAGAAAGCAGCACAGGCTCTGCTGGGGATAGATACACACCCAACTACCACAGTCTAAACTCTCCGCTCAATTATATGGTTCCCCAAGGAGAAAACACAAATATTTAGATGGGATGGGCCATGGTGCCACGAAAGAACAACAAGAGGTAGAAATAGAAGAGCCAGGTTCTGGCTCCTGTTCAGATTTCTTTGTGTGACCACATATATACCACTTGCGCTCCATGGACTCTGGGTGGCTGCTCTCTAGTTATGTAACTATCTCTTAAGTCCAAGAATCCTTATTAACAAAAGATACATCTAAGAGCATGTACTTAGTAGCAAAAAGAGAAGAGTGAGATAATATATAGAGAGAGCGCAGCACACTGCCTAGCGAATTGTAAGTCTCAATAAAGTACAGCAGTTAAGGTGATTACTCAAAAAGCAAGTAGGATGAATGGAACACAGCAGTCTCTTGGATCCTTTAACAATGTTTCTAGTGTATACTTTGGTGAGGCGAAAGAAAAGGGACTCTCAGCATGCTGGCTAAGACATCTAGGCCGACAGTAAAGACAAGTTTGTCATGACATCTATAGAATGATGTTTACGTTTTTTGACCTTAAATTAACCCTCAAATTGCAGTTAAAATAATGATCATGCTGGACAAACAAAGCAATGTCATGTGGTTGCAGTCACAACCAGAGGTACTCAGGTGTTATAAATTCATTAAGTGAAAAAAGTCCTAGTGAGTTACAGTATTCACTTTTGGATGCAAAGTCATTAAGTGAAAACCATCTGCAGCGGGATCACTATTGTCACCTGAATCACGCTCTTTGAAAGCTAGCTGCAGTCAACTCTGTCTAGAGACCATCCAAGATTACCACCTTGCTAAAGGTTGTGTAGCTTTTCCTGCACATTTTATAACTCTGCCTCTCCTTTCCAATTCCCATTATATGAGAAGACCTCCACATTACACCAGAGCCAAGGACAAATTATAAGACAGAAGTTTCCACCATGCTCATGGACCAAAGGATGGAAGTCATTTCAATAGCAGTCGCTGCCTCCTGGTAAATGCAATCCCCCCTTGCTAATTTCCCAAAGTTCCATGAACTAAAGCCAGTTCATTCTGGATGGCATCACTACATTCTACACGTTCGATTAGAAATTCAAGCATAGTATCTTCAACTAGACAAAGCTATTAGATATTAATGTTCAGACAACACCTACCTCACTCCAGACCAGCATGGTACCGAATATGACCTGTAACCCATCAAAGAAATTGTCCCCTATGATGATCACAGTCGCACCTCCTGTCGTCCATCCTTCACTCGGGCTGATGGCTTTGATACAGGGAGTAGCTGCTTTTCAACAGACATGAAAAAGAAAAGGAGTCGGCTGTTAGAACCAAACTTTAATGATGGGAGACTTGAGAAAAAGAAAAAAATACATCTTTTATCTTTTCATGAATAGAAGGTTCCTCAAGAGCTCAGCATTTCCTAGCTGCATTAGGACCCAAAACCTAAGGGTGCTACTTCAGTTCTTAAAAGCATTCTTTTCCTTAGTTCCTTGTAACTAAGAAACATGTATGGTCAGTCAGATCTTTAGCAAATTAAAATCTCATGCAATATAACACATAAGTAAAATTGAGTTTATAAAATACTAGGGTTTCTTTAAAATTGGAAGACTGTTTTGGAAGGTACTGGAAACCTTATAAAACTGTTCTGTAATTAAATGTATCTCATATCTCCTGAAAAGAAAACTTACACATTGTTAGATAAACATTTCTACCCAATGAGAAGCTAGGAAAGAAAGCAGGCTGGAGTAAGAATAATGCTTGCTCCGTGTTTTCCATCTGTAACACTAACACAGCAACATTCCTCGTTAAAAATCATTGCAATTTTTCTCAAATAAATGTCATGGATCCCATTTTATAGATTCAAAGAGCATAAGTCACTTAGGGTGAATTACGTAACCAAATAGCTGAGGCGGGGCTCCCTGTGACCTTTGTTTTATGTTTCCCAGGCATAAAGCCCTAGGACAACATTTTCAAAATGTTCATATCTCTCCCCTTTCCATTTTAAATCACCTTTAGAGATGGGAAATAATTTGCAAATACTGTGATTCCAAACAGACTGGGGGTGGTTTACCCAATGAGAATGGCAAACTTTCCCCAGAATTGCTGGAGTATGTCTTTGAACTCTCTCCTAGGGTACCTTCATACCACTAAGGGCTTTTGACTCCACAATATCACCCTGCTTTTCTCATGATTACCTTTTTAAACAGCAACAAAGCAAAAGTCTGGACTAAGGGAGATATTGTACAACAAGACAGAAGGAGACGCTTCTCTTAATGAGAAGTTTCTTAAGATTCAATAGATGAACTTTTTGAGCGCTGAAGCCCAGGAGAGCACTAGGTAATTTTAACAGTGGAAACATTGGCTGAATATTTGGAGTTTGTCAAGTTTGGCAGAATGTCATGCTTTAACTTTTGCAAGAAGGAAAGAAAACATTAGGTCCATCCCCCTGGGACCGTTGCTCACGTGCCACTACACAAACAAGTAGCATGACTTTGATTCTGATTCAAATTCATCTTTAAAAATTGTATGGAGAAATTTGGAAATATCCAACCTAAACATTGCATACTGGCTGAACCCATAGCAAGCATCTGCAGCTAAACCAAGGAAGTTCGGTTGACTTTATTCTCCTCCACTTTATCCCACAAACAAAATAATTACTCAGGAAAATGTAAACGACTTATGAGCTGACTTCAAAATTCTTGTACAATTTTTAACACACAGAGGGATCATGATTAGTATTCCTCCAGCACCAAACTTTTTCTTCAACAAAAGCTTTTTTTAAAAAAGTAGAAATATTTAAACACTGAAACAATGGCAAAATATGATGCATGATTCCAAGCAATTAATGATATAAATAAACAACTATTAAAATTCTTAAAATATAAGCAGTTTTAAAACATTTTATTAATATCTCCCAACTATCTTTTTTAATTTATAACTCAATATACTTGTGGCTAGAGGGCAACAGGAACAATGTCGCTACCTATCTGAATATTTCTAAGAACACCTGGATATTGGCTTAACGGAATGCTGGTCATGATAATCCTGCCTAACACCAAAGCAGCAATCCAGTGGTATCATTAAAGGCTGACCCTGTGATCACCTGGTGCACAGGGTGCAAAAAGGTCACTGTGCTTATTACATATATTAATATTGGGATTTCTATTGATTGTTTTTAATGTGTCGATGTGCTTATTTAGATAAATAACGCATCCTCTAGGCTTCTCAGCATCGTACAAGAAGAGCCAGAAGGGTGAGTTTGTGCATCTTAGGCTTTCCTCCAGCAAGAACTCAGTGATGACGTGGTCAAGGCCTCCTGCTTTTATACTTAATCCCCTTATTTTCACTTGCTGTTTGGAATGTATGAAGGGTATGTGTGTGTGTGTGTGTTTGTGTGTATGTGTGTGTGTGTATACTTTCAAACACTTACATGTTAACTAGCTGGAGGAAAGAAATCCTTCATATTCAGCATGTTCTCCATCTCCCACACAGACTATGTGCCATTATTAAAACAGTTAAGTCACGCAGCTCTTTCTAAGTTTACGCCCTGAGGAATTCTCAAGGTGCCGCTTATACATATCTCTTAGCTCAATTTGTCTTGAGAGGAAGTTCAGTGGTCCTTCCCTGCTGCTAAGCTGGCAAAATACATAAAGGACTCACGGGCTTTTCCACTGACAGACAGTGTGGCAAGGGGATGCCACTGGCATTTAATAGCCAAGGATGCCAATTATCTAACCACGCATGGGATAGTCCTCCACAATGAATAACTCCAAAATGCCAAAATAGGAAATGTGAATAGCTAAAAGGTAGTGAGCCCAAGAGCTACTGTTAAGAATTCACAGATCCATATAGGACAAGACAAGAAATGCAAAGGAATACAGCACCTCGGAGTGTCAGAAGGAGCGTGAGAGGAAAGGCTACTGAGCCCAGCTTCAGCAAAGGGATGGGACTGAGGCCCCTTGGAAAACTAGCCAGGGAAGCTTTGGCAATCCCACACAAATGCAGGGCCAGCGTCCTGTAGCCTTCTGATCTTTCAAAAGAAGCCAGGAACATAGTTTTTACATGAAATTTCCCAAACTTTAAATGCTGAACTAATTCAGTACTTTTGTTAAGAATCCAATGTCTCTCAGATGATTTTAACTCATAGGCTGCCATCGTGTTCTTTTACCCTATAGTCACAAATAAACCTGCTAGACTAACGTGGACCAGGAAATACTTACAGCCAAAACTATAGATACCCAGTATCTTCACTGCAAGCCTGACAACAAAAACCTCAAGCAGGAGGTGTCCCCCAATGGACAGTGCTTAAATAAATGATAGTACTTCTACATTGTAAGATATGAAGAATTCCATCAGAATGGATGAAAAAGTCTATGAAATGACACGAGGGGATGCAGAAATATGTTAGTAAGTGAAGAAAAGTAACTCATAAGCTAAAAACACTATGAGTCTAGTTATATTAAAGATGATATAAATGAGGATGGGCATGAATGTGTGTATGCACCTGTGTGCTATCACTTGTGAAGCTGGGATGCGGGAGAAAGGTCTAGAAGGGAGGAGTTACAACAACTGTCAATCAACTGCCCTGTGAAAAGGTAATGGAGCTAGTGCGGGTTGGACAGGGGAGGAAGCCTATTAAGTTTTATTCTATTGATACTTACATAGCTTGATTTTTTTTTTCAATGAACATATAATAAAACATTAAGTGAAAGAACATAGATAACAGCTGTACTTTTGACAGCAAATCAATTATAAAACCCAACAAACCACCCAAAACCAGCGATGCTGACTTGTAAACCCTGACACTCTCCTTCTCCCTTCCTTATGGACAAGGGTTGTCTGAAGATGCTCAGAGAACACCTGAGGAAGCTGGGGACTTCTCTTTGTTTCCTTCAGGACACGCAGAGAAAAGCAGAGGAAAGATAGAGAAAGATCATTTCTTAGTAATCATTGTGGATGGATTCAGCAGGATTTGAGAGTAAAAAGATTTGTAAAAAAAAAGTTCAGTTTGGTCTAGAAGTATAATAATCAATACAACTCTAACTCCAAGAAAATACTATGAAATGGGGAGTGGAGAGGTACGGTTGAATACAAAAGTACTATTTTACCAGTTAATTGTTGATTTAATTACTCCAGTGAAAGACTTTCTGCCTCATGGATGAATTTTCACGCTTTGTCCGCAGGTCAAAAAGCCAATTTCTGGTTCTAAATTTCACTAAAAATAAGTTTGTGTGTTTATTGGTTTGGGGTATTTTTGTGATTTTTTTTTCTTGCCTCTTTTCTTTAATCCCTCCCCCACCCTTCACCAGCCACCAAAGTAGAGGAGATTTTCCTTCCTTCAAACTATGACAATAACATGATTACCCCGCCAGTTTAGCATAATGGCTCTGAAATGCTCGTGGCACATTGCAGAGTTAAAGTGGAAATTATTAGGTAGCTCTTCTTTGTTATAATAATGATCACTCCACAAATAAAAGCTCTTCTCCCAAAGGTACTGCAAGGCACAAAATGCTAATTCTGAAGATTATGTGTGCACTTTTATTAAATATTACTATGCCCTGCCTGTTTGAGGGCTTCTCTGCTCTGATTGTTTTATGAGTACCATGTTAATGTCATTCCCATCTTGCTAGCAGCAGGCACACATTTTAGCGTTTGTATGAGAGTTGATCAAAGGCCACGTGCTGGGGGAATTGCTGAGAAAACATGGACAAGCGATAAAAATCTAACAGATTAATTGGTTTAAATTTCATTTCAGGGTGTTGAACTTTGGCTCAGGACTTTAATACTACACCATGAGTCAGGGCCTAATTACCAGATTTCCAATTTGCTTCTGAACAATGGTGGTGGGGAGACAGAAAGGAGAGGGAAGAATTTAAAAAGAAAGAAAGAAAGAAATCATTCAACCTCCAGTACATATTTAACAGTTCGTGTTCTGCAGACAATTGCACTCGGGGACATTAGTTATCAACTGCTTTTCCTCCGGAGCGTTTATGTGTCCTCCCAATAGCCTCGGAAGGCAGGAGAAATCACACGGACACCCTCAACACTTTAAAATTTTCTGACTTACAGAATCAGTGGTACATGATTTGCGTGCCTGCACACATGCACAGACGCAGCAGGCTTTTTATTAGCAAGGTGAATTTATAAGCTAGGCTTCCATCAATGAAATGGTCTATTTCATTGATAGAAAGCACGGGCCACGAGAGCCATGTTTACCTGAGAGTTTATGGGTGGCCTTGGGAATAAGGGTTAATTGAGCTTAGAGGTGCCTGCCATGGAGGTGAA